GGGGGGTGTCAGAGCCCCACTCTCTGGACTTGAGGCAAAGGCCATGTACCCTTGTCTGCTCCCACTGAGAGTCCACTGGACCCTGAGGCTCCTTCTAAAATTCCTCTTAAACCTCTAACATGTTTTCCAGCCTCGCATATTTTTTATGTATTAGAGGTAGGTGTTGGCTAATGGCACAGACCCAGGTTTTCACTGCCTCTCTTCTTTTTTTTTTTTTTTTAAATGTTTTATTTATTTCTAGGAGAGAGACAGCATGAGTAGGGGAGGGTCAGAGAGAGAGGGAGTCACAGACTCTGAAACAGGCTCCAGGCTCTGAGCTGGCAGTCAGCACAGAGCCCGACGCGGGGCTCGAACCCACGAACCGTGAGATCATGACCCAAGTGAAAGTCAGAAGCCTAACCAACTAAGCCACCCAGGCGCCCCTTCACTGCCTCTCTTCTAAGTCCCGTTTGGGGTTATCGCATGTCACTTTGGAATGTGGTATCTGTTAATTTGGAGCCTCCACTGGAGAGTTGCATTTCATCATTACCTACTGCCCTTATTTGATTTTTATGGAACATGTGGAGAAGTGCCAGGCACAGAGCATGTACTCAACGAGCAATGGCCACGTGTGATCCCATCTACTAGGCTCCCTGCTTACATTCACTTCATCACTATTACTGTTGACTTTATCCCTATTACCTTGTTTTACGCTTTATAATTTTTATGTTTTCTGTAGACTGGTCTTGTGGTAATTTTAATTTGCTATTATCTTCTGAAGTTATTTGGAAAATACACATATTGCTTTTATTTTTTTTAATTTACTTATTATGAGAGGTGGGGGGAATGCATGTGAGTGGAGTAGGGGCAGAGAGAGAGGGAAAGAGAGAGAGAATCCCAAGCAACACCACGCTGTCAGCACTAGTCCAATGCAGGGCTCAAATTCACAAACCGTGAAATCATGACCTGAGTTGAAATCAAGAGTCAGATGGCTAACTGATTGAGCCACCCAGGCACCCCTACACATATTGCTTTTAATTTTTCTAGTGCTTACCTTACATTTTCCCAAATATGTCAGTAAGCCTGTTTGCCTCACTTTAATCATGTAGAAATAGGGCAGTGGGCACTATCTGGCTGCCCACATTCATGCTATCATTTTGCCAAAAACCCTCAGTGGTGCCCTGCTGGCTCCAGAATAAAATCCAAACTCCTCAGCCTGGTGTTCAAGGTGCCTGGGGATCTAGCCCTACCGTAACTTTCTAGGCCCTTCTCCTGCCATACAGGACAACTCACCTACATGCCACCACATGGGTTTGCATTTTGGTTTTCAAGTGCATTGGTCACATATTCTCATATCCCAATGCCTTTGCTCATGTCATCTGCTCTGTCTGGAATGCCCTTCCGTCAAAGAGATCAGCACGGCACCGGGCCAGTTGTAAAATCTCAGTAACTGGTAAGCTTCCCCCTTCCTTTCTTTTTAGTCTCTCAGAATCTTTCAAGGCCCGATTCAAATGTCATCTTTTTCACTCTCAGGACAGATCTGTCCTAACCCGACTTCCGTCCCTCTGGTATCACTGGCTGCCCCTCCTTTGGGCTCCCAGTACTTTGTACATCTGTACTGTAACCCCAGCACCTTGGTGCTTTCCGTCTCTCCTGCCAGATGTAGTGCTCCCTGAGAGGAGCACTGCTCAAGCCCTGTGTGGACCTGTGAGCCTGGTCGGGTGCAGTCGATCCTTGATTGATTCGAATTGCCTTCCTCACCCTTCAAGGATGCAACACCCAGCTAGTAGGCAGGGCACCTTGTGATTTAGTGCCCAATCTGAATAGATATTCACTTATTATTCATATCCTTTTGCTTCCGTAAATGATTAGAGGTGAGCCACACTCAGTGTAACTGTTAGAAAAGTTAAGACTTCACGTGGAAGTAGCAGAGTGCCAGAAGGTGCCAACCTTCCTCTTTGGCTAAACTAGTCTCGCCGTGAGGAGCTTGCACTGGGGTCCTCTGGCTGGGGTGGCAGAGGTAAGGGTCTCCTCGGGGCTAAAGTCTTTCACTCCCCTCACAAACCATGGCCATGTCTGAGAATGCCTAAAAGGCAACAAGGAGAATTTAAGTTCCCAGAAAATATCTCGCTCTTGCAGGATTTGGACAGGTGGTGAGGAGGGCGTCGGGTTTGCTATGTGGCAGCGTTTCAGTAGAGATCACCTTGTTCCGTGGGCTACATTTGAAAAGCTTAGGCCCTTTCTCAAGGGTCACTGTCTAGCACAGTTGTATTTTAACCATGGCCTAGTACAGTATTCCTCATGTGGCTTTCTGGAGTGGCTTTTCGATGGAAGCCAAGGGCATACACATAAAATGTCAACCAGGGAAGCTGTTTGAGCAGAAAAACCCATTGCCAATTCTGAGTTGAGCGTGAACTCTCACGCCCCATATCACACACCATCTAACAAATGTTCTTGTGCAGACCCATTCAGATACAGGGACACCTTACACACACACTCTCTCTCTCCTCTCTCATGCACACTCACACGGCACACAGTCCCATTGGCTCCCACACATCCCATGGGCACACACACAGCCTCTATAGGACATGGGGAGCTGTCTTATTTCTGCACCTCACTCTGCCTCTAGAGTTTACTCCCTTAGGACAGAATCTACAGTATCTATTTAATAAATTCAATTACTTCAGGCCCCTGAGACCTTCCAACTTGATTCTGATTGCTTTAAGGTGTCAGATAATTTGGGAATGAATGGGGGAGAGCAGCCTCAAATTCTTGAGGGGAAAATCTTCTAGGCTCTAAGTCTAGTCTAGACTTAAGTGGTAGCTGCTTACAGCAGTTTGGGGAACCTGGTCTGGATGGTGGGACCAACCTCTTGTTGCTAGGCAGGGCTCGTCCTCTGGTCTTGTAGGACAGAGGCCCTCAGGGTAGTGCTTAGTTTGGCCTCCAAGGCAAGGACCAGTCCCTTCCTGCTGATCTTCCTGGGAACCTGATTGGTGGAACTGAGGCCTATGCCAAATGTCTCAACAGGCAAGGAAACAGGCCAGCTTTCTGCCCCCTGGCACTTCCCCTGGGGTGACTTCTTTTGTCTGCTCTATGTCCCCTGTGACAGTGATAGCTCTCAGAGGTTGGTAAATAATCAGAGGTCACAGCCTTCAGAGAGTGTCGATGTTGTGCCAGATGGAGATGGATCTAACCTGTCCAGCACTCCAGAAACCTGAAGAAAGAGGCTGGGTGTGCGTGCATGTGCACTGCATGAACTGTGAAGGGAGGCAGGAGGCGAAGGGCCGGGGCTGTGGACCCAGCCCGCTGTGTGTGTGAATCCAAGCTTCGCCGTTGAACAGCTCTATGGCTTTCGGTAAGATCTTTGCCTTGTGTGTGTCCCAGTTTCTTCTGCTATAAAATGGGTATGATAACAGCATCTCCCTCCTGGGGTGGTTGTGAGGATGAAATCAGTTGCAGTGTAGAGATAGCACTTGGTGCTCAGCAAATGCTCCAGACATTTGGTTATTGTTTTTATAGTTAACGGGCAAGGCCAGGCCAGGCGGAAAGCTTGGAATGGAGTCCTAGCTGCTGAGCTAGGGCAGTAGGATGGGGGCCCTCCCTCAGCCCAGCTAGTTCTCCCCCCCCCAAAGTCGTGCAGTCGTGATGGTCTGTTCAGCACCAGAGAATCCTCACACGGACCCTCTTCTGGCATGGTTACGGGGTGTGTGCGCTGCTGAATCCAGGGCGCACATGAGGACACCCACTTGTGGTGGGGAGACGGTGCCCCTCAGCAGACCGCTGCCAGAACACCTGTCCTCTCCTCCCTGCTGCTGTCAGCTGGCTGTGGATCCACTATCCTTCACCTCATCATGCCATGGCTTGCTTTACAGTTGGTGTGAGTCACAGCCAAGACCTCCTCAGAGCTCAGAGACTCTAAGATGACCTTCGTTAAGAAGTTTTTTGCCTCCTTTTAAGTGTGACCCCCTAGAAAGAGCTTTGGAGGACAGAGACCCTGGTTTCTATTTCAGTTCCATCGCTTTGTAGATTTCTGTCCTTGGGCATCTTACCATTATTGAGGCTTTATTTTCCAGAAATAGGAATAAAATATTCGCCTCTCAAAGCTGTTATGGAGCTTAAATAATATAAATTCATAAGGGCTGGGAATGCAATTGACGGTATACGTTCTCCTTGATTGCTACAGCTTAGAAGGGAAAGACTCCACTGCTGCTGGGAAGCAGCTCCTGCACAGAAAAACCAGAGGTTCCTCGGGGGCCTGTGAGAACGGGGGTGGGGAGGATGGGGAAGTGGAAGGGGCAGATAGAGGAAGGCCAGCCTCCAGACTTCGGAACTGCAGGTTCCCTGGGACCTCTTAGGTTCTAGACCTCAATCCCTTCAGGCACCTAAGGATCCCAACCTTCCCCCTTCCCCTTCCCTCTCCCCATCCCCGATCAGAGCAGCGGTTCCCATTCCTTAGTGAAGACAGGTATGCTAGGCAGGTAGGAGTTAGAATTATCCCCGCCTCACAGAGGAAGAAACTGAGGCTCGGAGGTCTGGAGACCCGCCCAATGGCTTTAGTCGTAGCCTCGGGTGGGCGCGGGCGCGGTCACGTGTGTGGAGCCGGAGTCCCCGCGGTTCCCAGGAAGGCGCGGGGGCGGGGGCGTTCGCAACGCCGGCGTCGGCCCCAGCCCGGGGGTGGGGTCTCCGTCGCGGGGCGGGGCGAGGGGGAGGGGGCGGGCCGCCACGCAGCACTCCGGCCATCGGCGCGGGACCGAGCCCTTTTGGTGGCGCGGGGCCGTGCGGGCCGGCCTCTCCCGCGTCCACGCGCGCGCACGCCCGCCGCGGCCCCGCGCACTCCGCCGCTTCGCCCATCGCGCCGTGCAGGCAGCCGCTCGCCGAGCCCGCGGCCGGGGCCCTGGCGTGCAGCGCGGGCCTCGGCGGGGCCCAGCGCCCCGGCCCGGGAGGATGCGGCCCGGGGCGGCCCGGGAGCTGAGCAGGGTCCTCGCGCCGGCCCCCGCGGGCCCCGGCGTCCTGAGCCGCAGCCGCCGCCCCGCCCCCGGGAGACATGACTTCCAAGCCGCATTCCGACTGGATTCCCTACAGGTACGCGGGAGCCGGTTCCACCCCCCCTTCAGCTCCGGGACACGGGCCCAGCCCACTACCCTCCATCGCCGAGGGCGAGGCCGCCCACCACCCCGAACCGGGGCGCAGGGTTCCTATATCCATCCCATCCAACACTGCGGGCGCGGGCTGGAGGCGCTGGGCCTTCCTGCCCCAACTTTGGGCCCCGGGCACACTGAACCCACCTGCCCTGCTTCATCTCCCATCCGCCGGGGTTGCTGAAGGGGCCAGTGCCCTGGACCTGTGTGGGCCCTTGTTGGGTCGGGCCAGTGCCATGTGGCCGCCTGGGGAAGGAGCGCACTGCTCTGAGCCCCCTCCTAGGCCCAAGCACACCGGGTCACATGCCAGTGTAGCCGTGGACAGACACCCTGTACAGCTGCAGGCACGCACCTCCCCGTGGGTGCATCCGGCCAAAGATGCTCCTGCTGGTCGGTTCACACACTCAAGGCATGAATTCCTGGAGACAGTTATTCTGAACCAAGACCACAGGCTGCTCATATACACATGCATCCTGTACATTTCCCTACACACTGACTTGGGCTCACATGGCTGTACTACTACCTGTGCACACACACATCCAGTAGTTGGACAATACCTGCCACCCACTCAGATACTACTCTGTATCAGACTGAGAAATCCACTTACTACAGGTCTACACCTGGACGCACAGCAACTCACAATACAGAACTGCCTTTACATGCATAAGAACACTCATGAAAGCACAGCCACCCTGTATTCCCAGACTGTGGTCTGTCCTAAGGACAGTTGGGCTTTGCCACTGTCGTGGAGGTCGGGTGGGGGAGGGGTGTTGGGGTTTCACACAGGTGCAGGCCTTTCCCCCATGCACTCCGTTCTCTCCATTACCACCGGAATAGAGCTCATCGTCAAGGGAGCGCCAGATCCTTGGCCACCTATTGGCTCCTGGTTGCCATGGGCTACGGGGCTGTCTCTAGGCCTCCCAGAGAGGCATGTGTGTAAAATGGGTGCTGGACTGCTAGTGTCCAATATGTTAGCGCCTGCTTAGGTGCACAGGTTGTAGGAACAGACCCTCAGGACCTGCCTTGTAACACAGAAGCTCTCAGGGAGGGACTTGATTCTGGTCACTGATAGGAAGTACTTCTGACGGAGCTCTTCTATGAGTCTGTCCAGACAGCATCCAAAATGGAAACCAGCTGAAACCGCCCGAAGCTTGTTAAAAGCAGATCCTTCTGCAAACAGCACCTGTCAACTGGCTTGGGGATTCAGGGTTTCTTTTAAGAATTGTCTCTAATCTCAGCTCCCTTGGGGGCTTTAGGGTTTCCCAAGTTAGAATTTGTGGGTGCTCCTCCCGCCAACATACACACGTGCACACATCCACGAGTCACTCCCCGGGTTTCCTGAAGACATAATGCAGCCACACCTCAGAGTCTCCCGTATATCAGCGAGAGATTTCTATCAGGAGACTGGGGGGTTGCTGACTCAGAAGAACTGCTACTCTACACTGGGCATCCAGGCTAGCGGCACAGGTCGTTGCTGGAGCATCCTGGCTTTCTTGACACACCTGTACTGAGGGACTTCAAGAAGACAGTGCGGCCCCAAGGAGTATCATTAACCTTTTCTCACCACCCAGCAGAGGTGCCTGGGGTTGTGCCTGTGGGCTGAGTGGCCTCTAGTGCTGTGGAAGGACGAGTTTGGGGGAGGTGGCAGGTGGTGGCCACAGACTAACTTGGGAGGGAGGGCACAATATTGTGGCTGTAGATATGATAGTGTGTTTAGGGTCTGGCCGGCTGGGGGCCAGGCCAGATCATGGTTCAAGGAAGCCTCTCCCAGGAGCCAAAGACCAAAGCAATGTGTCGAGTGAGTACACAGGTGTTAGAGAAAGTCTGCCTTAAATAGGGGAGGCTTAATCCTGCCTCTGGGAAAGGGGACCCTGGAGAGGTGGGGTTGTCTCTGCGAAGTGGCATTGTCCTCCAATGCCCAGGGCACTGGCATCCTTCGAGGAGGGAGTTGGCACTTGCTGCAGCCTAGGTCCAGCCGCCCCATTGCCCCATCACCTCCTTGGGCCCGCACATTGCACCTGGAGCACACAGTCCTATCGCCCTGGCAGCCTGTCCCTGAGGAGTGGCTTGGCAGCACGCCCTGCCCGCTTGCTGTCCCATTGCTCTGTGGTGGAGAGGGTGTGTCTCAGGCTGGGAGCAGGCTATAGTCAGAAGTTGCCCGGATCCCTTGTGCCTTGCTGAGAGGCCCGTGCATGCACTGAGCCTATGAGAGCACCGTACTTTGGGTGTCGACTTCCAGAATGGGGAGACCTGGGCTGAGAGGAGGAGACGAAAATTGCCTCCTTGCATTAACTGGGCTGCTGATTGCAGTTAAAGCCACATGCCTGTGTGATCACAGAAAACTGGGGCAGAAAACTGGCAAGGCAGTTTCCTTGCAGGCCAGGGGGATGGGCACGTGTGCTCACGCTCCGGTATGAGGTTTCCCCAGGTGTCACAGCATGTCAGAACTGGAATGTGTCATTTGGTTTGGGGGAGAGAAGCGGTCGATTTCTTGTTAGCTCTCCTGGTGGGGGTTTCATTCCCTCTGTGACGATTGCACCTGCGTTCCCTAGGCCTGGCTCATTTTCTTCGAAGCGACTCCAGTTGGTGATAATCTTCTTAAGGGTAATTGTGGCTCAGTTGATAATGATTACCGACTAATCTCCCATTCTGACCCAGAAGGGAGCCATTTAGTTTATAAAGTTGAACAATTGGAACACTGTTTTGCCTTTTGATATGTTTCTGTTATTACTAGTAGTAATTTCCATTTTTGCCATCTTCTCTCCATCTGTATTGTTCTTGAGTATTAAATGCCCTTCATTCCTGACCTCACAACCTTCGATGAGCCGTAGGTGGAGCATTGAGAGCGAGGAGTGCTGGCCGGCCCTGTGCTCAGCGCTCTGTCTGCATGGTCCTGCGGCCACTGCCAGGTGTCCCTCCAGCCAGGCCCTGAACTCCTGGAGAGCAGGGACCTCATCTGGTTCTTGGCTGGGTGCCTGGCATGAGGCGGCATAGACAGGATGCCTTGCAACTTTGAATCAAAGCGGCATCCGCAGATAGCTTTCAGGACTTCTGGGCCTTCCTGGCTCCACTCACAGGTTGTCAGCATACCTGAGGGATATAGTACTCCTCCTTCAGGAAGAGGAATACTTCTGGAAGAGTGTGGGCCTAGGTTAGAGAATGAGGAGCTCGGCTGGAAGGGCCCTTACCATCCAGCCCTCTGTGCGAATGCTCTCTGCAGTAGCCCGCCAGCAGGTAGCTGTGGCAGGTAGAGAGTTCTTCCTTGGGGTGAGCCTCCGCCTGCCTCCGGGTGTTCCCCTTTCTTGGCTCTTGTTGATGTCTTCCCACCACTTCCTCACTACGCTTTCCGGAGAGTGGAATGACTGCTGACCGAGCAAGACCAGACTCTTTCAGTACTGCCCGCGTGGGAAGCCTCAGGCGCCCCGACACCGTGGCCTGCCGCTCCGCCTCTGGTGGCACGGGCGAGGAGCAGAGTCTCTCGCCACGCTCGGCCCAGACCCCCTTGGGAAGGCTTCCTGGTGTTGCTTAGGGCGGAAGGAGAAGGAAACACGGTGATAGAGTGGACTTGGGGAACAGGCACCTTGTGGGTACCCTAAGGCTGGTGCCCTCCTCCAGCACAGGCCTGGAGCCGCCTGCAGCCTCCCGGGTGTGGCCTGTCCCACAGCAGCGGAGGGAGGCTGTTACTTCCTGGCCCCGGGCCTCTGCTCCCTGGCCGACCTTGAGTCCTCACCGTCTCGGGGGATGGCTTTGGCTCACTGACTAGTCACCTTGAGGCCTCTGTAAACAGAACCCTAGAGTCTCATCAGGCTGATGTCAAAGCCCTGTCTCCCCCTGCCTGTAGTGAAGACCTAGGTTTGGCGCCCACATGTGAGACGTGACATTCTCCTTTTAGGTTTCCATTGGTTAGACTCTGCTAGCTCTCCAGTGTCTTCTGAAGTACTACTGTCTTTAAAAAAAATTTTTTTTTAATGTTTATTTTTGAAAGAGAGAGTGTGAGCAGGGGAGGGGCAGAGAGACACACAGAGGGAGACACAGAATCTAAAGCAGGCTCCAGGCTCTGAGCTGTCAGCACAGAGCCTGCCACGGGGCTCGAGCTCCCAAACCGTTAGATCATGCTCTGGACCACCTGAAGTCCTGTCTTAATGAACAGCTTAGTATCACTTCTACTTCACATCGCCTGAAGTCTGCTGAGAAGCCTGCCTTGTCTTTAGGTCCTCAGTAAACCCGCCAACGAGGGCAAGCGGGATGCTAGAAACCTTCTCTGACTAAGCCATGCCCTGTTGTTGCAAAACCCTTTGCGTGTCTGTCTCATTGGAGGAGCCACTCACATGGCTTCATCTTGCCCACGGTCCCATCTTGCGTCACTGGTCCCTGCGAGTCCCTGCGGAAGTCTGACTGTGCTGTCCTCCCGGTTTCCCCGATAGGTCTGGGGGCAGGTGCCCTGACTTGCTAGTGGACTAGGCTCGCTCCGGGTGGTCCCTGAGTCTTCTAGCTGCTCAGTTCGCCTGTCCTTTGATCTTAACCTGGGGCCTGCGTAAGACTCGTTGATCTGCAGACTATAACTCCTTCCTCCATCTGAACATAAGGCCGCATTTGCATACTTCCAGCAAGTCCCCCATTTCTTTCTTGTTCTTTAGAGAGCACCAGCTGTGGCTCCTGGTCCTCATTTGCATGGCTGAGCATTAGAATCACCTACGTTTCTTGCTTTAAAAGAGAGTGCAGTGAGAGACTGAATCTGGGGTAACTTCCCCAGAAGTTCTGAATTACCAAATCAGGGCCCAGGGCCCAGTGCCTGTAGCAGTTTTAATACACCTGCTAAGTTTGGGAGCCAGCAGCTGGAACAGAGTGAGACGGTGCATCCTGGGAGGCTGGGACTCCTGTGCACAGTGTTATCTTCTTCCTTCTGGGGCTTCCCGTGCTCCCACTCGTACTGTGTTTCCGTGATGGTCCAGGCAGCCACTAGGCAATGGAAGCCACGGATCTGGGTGTGCTGGGGTGGGGGTAGGGGAGTCTGGCACTGGGGACAGGGGTTGCAGCCTGGCCCCCTGGGTGATCTTACCTCCCCTGGAAGGCCATTTCCCTGGGTCCAGAAGGGGCAGTTTCCACTCTGACTGAGTGGAAGGAATGAGGACATATAAGGGAGGGTGAATTGGCCGTGGAGTACGGGCCTGTCCCTGGGTAGCCTGGCCCCCAGGCCTCTGGTCAGCTCTGGGTTAGCTGAGCATGCGGGGTGGCATCTGAGAGGCAGGGAGCTGTCCGAAGCATGTTGTCCCTGTTTGGTTCTTCCATCCCGTGGGAGAAGTGCCCCCGCTCAGTTGTTGTCAAGTTTGGTTTTCTCTCCAGATATCTGTTGGGCATCTGGGGGGAAATGAGGGGGCGTGAAGGGGCTGTCCCTGTGGGAGGTGAAGGGCCACCTCGTTGGCCCTGGGCAGAGTGAACGGATTGATGGACACCGCAGGCTGGGTTTCTCCAACTCTTGTGAGCCAGTGGCCAGTGCTTTCTTGGACCTCCCTGGTCTGGTCCCCAGCAGGAGGCGCCGGTAGTGAAGGAGCCACCGGGGTGAGCTGGCGGGCCCATCCATCAGTGTCCTGTCTCCTGTCCTGTCTCCTGGCGGGGCTGCAGCTGGCAGCCTGGGCTTGGCAGTGGTTCCATTATTGGAGCCCGAGTTGTTAAAAAGCCATTACTGTCTCCTCTGTGGTTATCATTTAGTGCCGCCGAGAACAGTACCCATCAGGCAGACGTGAGCTGGGGAGTGTTGGTGAGAAAGGAAGGTGCTGCAGTGGGAGCAGAGAGGCAGGGCTGTCTGCAGGGGTGGGGCCAGGCCTGCTGAGGAAGCGAGGGGTTTCCTGGACTCCCTGGAGACAGCCATCCTTGTTGTCATTGTTCTCCAAAGCTGCAGGGATTTGTGAGGATGGGATTCCGTTAGCCACCAGGAAGGGTGTTGTGCACCCCAGATACATTGCTGTTGGGCATTCGAGGCCTGTCCCTGTTGGGGGCCCCTGGTCCGCCTCCTGCCTCTGCAGCTTTGCTAGCAACAGGACTATACCAGGAGCCTGTTCACTGTACCTGCTGCTGCCTGCTCTCGGAACCACCCCATGTAGGTGCACTGACTTTTGGCCTTCCTGGGTTGGCCTTGCTCAGCCTGACACGTTCTGGCTCACCGGGCCCATATTGCTTCACCCAGCTGCCGCCCCCAACCTGCACATACCTCCCCCTCCGCCCGCTGCTCCAACAGGCCTGGTGGTGAGGGAGGTGGTGGATGGCTCTCTAGGCACCTCCAGGGTATCTGAGTTTCTGGCGTCTCTTCAGAAGCCTGCCCCCTGTTCATTCGTCTTTCTGTTCATCCATCCATGTATGGTGGTGAAGTCCATTCTACCTATAGTCTTACCACTGTGACTAAAGCCTGCAGCTCTGGGTCTTTCTCCTCCATCAGGGAAAGGAGAAGGGGCCAAAGGAAGAGGAAAGCAGCCTCCTTACCTGGGTGTGACTGTGTGGAATGACTCTGGCCGTGGGACAATAGCCTGGGCCAGGGATGCACCCTCCTGTGCAGATAAGGACCTTCGAGGCCCTGGGTAGCAAGGTCTCCATGCCTGGGGCCGCCTTTTGTCCATTGAGCTGCCACTGTGACCCAGCAGTTCCGGAGGTGGCTTTGCTAATGTCAGCTTAACTCTCAGGTGGATGTCCCCTCTTCTAAATGACCCTAGATGTTAGTGTTGGCACCATGGGAGGCATCCTCATTGCCCTGCTCAGCAAGCCCAGTGCCAGGATGCCCCAGATGAGTGCCCCCGGCCCTGCCCTGTGAAAGGATGAGTGACTCAGGGCATCCCAGTCAGCCATGAGCCTGCATCTCCTGCTGGCAGGTAGCGGAGCCGGCAGCCTTGTGGAGGTGACATGGGCGCCTGTGGCCAGGCCATTAGCACATGACTGAGATTACAGGCTGCCCTGTGTGTGCCCAGAGTGTGGCAAGCAGAGCACGGGTGGGTTTCAGGCCCCGTCGCTCCTGTCAGCCACGTGCCACATGGGGTCCAGACTCTAGTCTCCATCTGTATCCTGCAAGTTATAAACAAGTATGCACTGCTCGTGTGGCAGCCTGGGGTGGGCAGTGGTGTTTGTGGACTGACCCTTCAAGGTCTGTGGGAGCAGATGCTTTGCCTTGGCATCGTTCAGTCAGACCACTGGCTTAGGTGGAGAGGCCAGTGGCAGAGAGCAGCCCCTCAAACCTGGCAGGGCCCCCAGACACCTTGCTCACCCTAGTACCTGCATCCTTTCTTCAAGACCATTGCTGCCACCCTCCTGTGCTGCCTCTTTTCTCTGATGGGGCACTCACTGTCCCAGCCAGCTTGCATTTTTAAGAGCTGGTTCCCTGTCCCCCAGTCCTGGCAATGCCTTAGGGAGTCCCACGTGCAGCTCTGGACTATTTTAGGTGGACTGAGGCCTTGATTTAGAAGCATGTCTGTTTAGTAGTGTCTTCTCTTGTGCTCTGACAGCCAAGGATTTTGGTGCATAAGGCTGTGCATGGCCCCAGATCACAGTGGGGGCTCCCTCTTGAGTGTAGAACAGCCCATGGGTATCCGGAAAGGCCTTCATGCAGGTAGGACAGCTGCCAGTTAAAACATGCAGTTGTTACAGGTTGTGGCCAGGGAGGTGTGGGTGAAGCCAGAGGTGGGGGGTGGGCTGTGTAGTCCATGGACTTCCTGCCCCTTGGGCTGGGTCCCCCAGCACATGGATGCACGGGTAGTTTGAATGAGCCAAAGGGACATTTTAAGTCAATGATTCTTTCAGCTAGAAAGAGCTGCTATTGTCTGGAGGAGGTGGAAATGGCTGTCCCTTGTCTTCGGGGCGACTTGACCTCCTCTTTCCCCCTTATATGCACACTGTACTCACCAGCGCACGAGCACAACCACGTCTTATGCAGGTGTTTATGTACATAGATACCCAGGTATGTGCTTCTCCCTGTAGATGTACTCAAATGTTAGGACACCTCCTGGTGTGTACACGTGTACGAGCTACACTTAGAGCTTCACACACAAACCTGCTGCACTCAGGCAAGCCTGTGCAGGTGCCCACACAAGGTCTGGTTCAGGGGCAGGCTCCAGCAGAGCTGGGTCAGGGCAGCCTGGGGATTCCTAGGGCTCAGATCTTCAGGCTCCTACCCTGCCCCCAGCCTTGACTTTTATAGAATTTGGGCACGGGTCTTATGTATGTGTCTTGGACTAGAAGGAAGGCTGAGTGGTTGGAGCTCCCTGATTATGCTGGCCTTCCTGGGAGGCAGGTCTGGTCTCTGTGAGGTGATGCTGCCTGTTCTAGGACCTTCGGGACTCAAGGATTTGATGCCCTGGTGCCCCCTGCGCCATGTGGGCTGGTGGCTGGGCTGTGCACTGTGGCGCTGTGTCTGTTTGCAGACATGCCCACCCAGCTCTAGCCCTGCCCTGAGGGACTAGTTGGTCTTTTAGCTTCACTCTTCTGAATGAGGGGACCCTCAACCCTCTTGAAGTGGAGAAGGGGAGTGGGCAGCATTGGCACCTCTATTCTGTTACCCGGAGAGCCAGAAGTTTGAACAGAAGGGGAAAGAGTCTGCCCCAGAGGATCCAGCCTCCTCCAGAAAGGATGGAAAGACAGAGGGGAAGAGCTGGTGAGATCCGAGAGGGAGCAGGAACAGACCGGCGCCTGGCTCTGAAGCTCGGCCTTGGAACAGGTTCCCCTGGGTCCCAGGCATGTCCCTGCTCATGGGCCCAAAGGGAAAGTCTCCTCCTGTACTTCCAGGGGCCCGGGCTGACTGGGAACTCCTTGAGTCAGCAGGGCTCCCAGCAGGAGAAAGCTTTAAAGTGACAAAAATATGGCTCACACCTTTTTGTCTGGAGCCAGTTTCCAGAGTTGGCTCCACGCTTCCTCCCTCTCCTGTGTGCCCTGGAGTCATGACGGGACGGGTTTCAAGAACGCAGTTGTGCTGGGGGTGGACTCTGGACTCCATCCTGGCACCCGGCGGGCAGGCCCTGAGCGCCCCTCTCTCCCTCTGCAGTGTCTTAGATGATGAGGGCAGCAACCTGAGGCAGCAGAAGCTTGACCGGCAGGTGAGTGGGGCTGGGGCAGCGGTCAATTTTTGCCATCCTGGCCCGAGTCGCCAAGGTGGGGAGGGAGGACTGTCTCCCTTCCTGGGGTGGCTGCGTCTGTGGAGGAGGCTCTCACAGAAGAGAGGCCAGCCCTGTCTTGAGCAGCTCAGCATCAGCACTGCCCCAGGACCCAGGGCTTCTGCCTGGCGGGCAGCCGGACCACTGCACGTGGAGCCCTGGAGGTCTGTGCCCTGGACGTCTGGAGGGTCCTTTTGCCTCCTTTGCTGGACCAAATGTCAAGGTGCCTTGGCCCAGAGCAGGCTGTGGCTCCCATGGCAACCTCTAGAACTGAGCTGAGCGAGCAAGGCCTCCCCTTTGAGCCCAGTTGGGAGGCTGCCCTCCAGGCAGAAGTGATAAGCTGCCCTCTTGGGGCCCGCCAAAGCCCCTGCCTGTCCGGTGCCTCTGTAGCGGGCCCTGCTGGAGCAGAAGCAGAAGAAGAAGCGCCAGGAGCCCCTGATGGTGCAGGCCAATGCGGACGGGCGGCCCCGGAGCCGGCGGGCCCGGCAGTCGGAGGAGCAGGCCCCCCTGGTGGAGTCCTACCTCAGCAGCAGCGGCAGCACCAGCTACCAAGGTATCTGCCCTTGGGTCCCCCTGGGAGGCCCTGTGCTGTGGCCTCACACCCTGGCTTTGCTCTGGGGAGCCGCTCAGGGACTTGCTGCTGGCCTGCTGTCGGGGTGTGCTGAGGCTGGGTGCAGCTCCCAGCTCCGGTGGAGGGAGGCGGGCTGAGGGAGGCTGGGGCCTGGAGCCCGGGGCCCTGCATGTGTTCAGGCATCTTGAGGCTTTGGGAGTCACGTAAGTCACTGCCATGCAGCTGTTTCGGCAGCTGTTTTTTGAGTACAGATCGTGTGCCCGGGGCAGGGCCAGGCCTGCAGGAGGATGGCAGCCCCTCCGGACAGAGTGCCCCTCCTATGTGACGAGTCACAGCTTCCGGTCATACCATCATAGGTCACTGCTCACTTGTGACTGTGAGCAAGTCACTTCCCCTCTCTGGGTTTTCTCCCCTTGCAAAGTGAGGATAATTCTGTGACTTGGGGCTTTGAAAAATTGAAGCGGCCATGGTGTGTTCCACAGTGGTCATTCACTGAATGCTGTTCCCTGCTGAGACTAGGGACACGGCCTGCCTGCTGTTTGGGGGGGCGGCGGGGAAGGTTTGCCCAGCCCAGCCTGACACTCAGAGCCCCAGGAGGTGGCCGCATAGGTGGCCGGCTGGCCTGGGATGGGAGTGTCCAAGAGCACCTGCCACCCCCACCTGCAGCCCTAGCTGCCACCTGCCCTGCCCTCTGCTGGCTCTTGATGTTAAATACAAGAGGGCCATTTCCAGAGAATGACTGGGGAGTTTGGCATAAATCAGAAGTGTTTATCCCAGTAAACGGCTTTTGATTTATTGGACATGCTCTTTCATGTTAAAGATTCATTTCTTAAATATACTTTGAGGGCTTGGTTTGTGTTAGGCTCTGGATTAGAGGCTGAGGGTTCAGGGTAAGCACAAAGTAGATGTGGTCTCTGTTCGTGCATGGACTTTAAGGTCTAGGAAGGCAGAGAGAGCTAAACAACGTCCCAGGTGTGTTTTGCAGAAAGAAACCAGGCTCTGTGAATGAATGGCAGAGCGCCTACTCCCGGACTGGGGTCAGGGAAAGCCTCCCTGAGGAGGGCACAGGTTGAGTGGGAGTTTAGTTGGTGTTGGGGGACAGTGTCAATAGTGAGGGCAGTCCAGGCAGCCGGAGCAAGACCTCTGTGGCAAGAGGGAGGATGGGGTGCACAAGGCACTGGAAGAGCCCGGTGCGGCTGGGGCTCGGGCCTCCTGAGAAGTGAGGAGTGTGCAATTAAGGCCAAGGCCAAGTGGAGGGGGACTGGGGGGGCCAGACTTGCAGGAAAATGTTAGTCTTCTTGTTACGAGCACTGAGAAGTCATTTAGGGACTTTGAGCAGGTTGGGGGTCTGATGTGTGGAGACTTTGGAGGCCACCCCACTGTGACCCTTATGAGACCTCTCTGTTGATGTGTGCAGCTCTTCGTGTCCCAGACTTATTCTCCTGCCTCGGGGGTGCTCCGGGCTCCCGCGGGCTTGTCCCAGGAGGGCCAGCGCAGGCTTCCTGCAGTGTGTGCCTTGTTAGTTCTGGGCTCTTCTAGGGGAGGCAGCCTTTTCTGTCTTTGCCATTGTCAGTGACCCACATTCTCCCAGATCTTCTCCCTCCCCTGCCCAGGCCCAGGATGTTTGCTGGCCCAGAGATGGACTGTAGTGCTTCTTGACGGGATCATGGTGCAGGCCAGCTTGTTGTGACTTTATCACCCTGGGGTGGGCGTGCCTCCTCCTTCTGGCCAGTCTGTCCCAGGCCCCTTTGCCTTGTTGAGAGAGATGGGTGTACAGAGGCCCCGGTGGGGCTCCAGTGGTAGTGGGGCCCTGGGAAATGTCGTGCTGAGAAGTGAGTTCCACTTGGAGCTCTGGTCTCACCTAGTGCCCATTTCTCTGTCTCTCTCTCCCTCGCGCTCTCTCCCTGGCTCTCTCCTGAGCAGTTCAAGAGGCCGACACAGTTACCAGTGCACAGCTGGGAGCTGCCCGCCCAACAGCACCAGCCTCAGCCAAGAGAACCAAGGCAGCCGCCGCCGCAGCGGGGGGCCAGGGCGGGGCCTCTAGGAAGGAGAAGAAGGGGAAGCACAAAGGTTGGCTTGGCTCCACTACTGCCCTCCTCAGGAGGCCTGGCTCCCACTGGAGGGTTGGGGGGAGGCTTCTCCTCCAGACTTGGAGGTAAGGGACAGGGAGGGAGGCCTCCTTGAAGGCACGAACGGCACTCAGGCCCCCACCCAGCCGGCTCACGGGCTGCGTCTAGCTCCTGGGGTTCCCCTGGCTGGCCTGTGGGTGTGGGCAGCCTCTCCCTACCGCCTGGAAGTGAGGTGCATCCCTGCTGTGTTAGGCCTGGAAGTTCCCCTCCCCCCCCCCCCCCCCCCCCCCCCCCCCCCCCCCCCGCCCTGTCCGAGAGTGCCTGGCCTGCTGTCTACTGTCTCTGCTGTCTCAGGTGTCACTGCTGCTGGGCCACCTGCCCATCCTTGTGCAGGGCTCCTCTGCTCTAGTCCTAACTCCACCCTCCAGGCCCACGGACCAGTCTGTTCTCTATGTTCCTCTCTCTCCAAAAAGATCCCCAGAGAACGAGAACAGTTTTTTGTTTTTGTTTTTTTAATATTTTAATGTTTTTACTCATTTTTTGAGAGACAGAGAGCGGGTGGGGGAGGGGCAGGGAGAGAGGGAGACACAGAATCTGAAACAGGCTCCAGGCTCTGAGCTGTCAGCACAGAGCCTGATGTGGGGCTCGAACCCATGAACCGTGAGATCATGACCTGAGCCGAAGTCTGCCGCTTAACCAACTGAGCCACCCAGGTGCCCCTCAACGATAGTTTTATAGTGGCGCCTGCCACAAGTCCTATCTCTGCTGGCTAGACACTGTCCTCAACCCTTGTGCAGGGGCAGTGGCTCCCAGGCCTCTGGGCCATGGTCGGACAGTCGTGTGTCAGTGTTCATAGGCTTCTGGAGCTGACAGCAGCATTTGGGGCAGAGCCAGGCCAGGCAGGGCAGCTGCCACCTGTGTGGGCCAGGCCTTCTGTCACTTGGGCACGTTGGGCTGGGTGACATGGGATGGAGTGATCTTCCACGTGAGAAAGAGAGTGTATGTCAAACACTACCTTTTCAGAAGTCCCCATGTTTTGAGTGATGTCTATGAGTCACTGTGTGTGTGTGTGTATGTGTGAGAGAGAGAGGGAGAGGGAGAGATCTATCAGCACTGGTAACCGGGAGCTGGTCATGTCTGTGAATGAGTGGTGGCCTTGCTCTGGTCATGATCGATCCTTGTTCTCCATCTTGACTTTTTCACTGTGCAGTTGGTTTTGTATGGCTGTCTTTTCCTTAGGGATATGAAGCATTTCAAACTGACCCCCAGCAGCTAATTTGGGGGAACAGCAGAAGAAATGAAGCCCATGTCCCTTCATAGCTTACTGATCATTAAGAGGCTGGCAGCAGTCATTAGTTTTTTAAAAAATCAGTTTTGCAAATAAAGTTTTGCAGAGGGTCCTCCCCTCATCCCTCACCCACTTCAAGGATGTCTGAGAATCCAGGCTCTCCCTCCCCACCAACCCCCACGGGACTCAGGAGTGTCCGTGGCCTGCAGGCACCGGCGGGCCAGCAGCACTGGCGGAAGACAAGTGTGAGGCCCGAGGCCCGGTGCAGATCCTGACTGTGGGCCAGTCAGACCACGCCCAGGACGCAGGGGAGACGGCAGCTGCTGGGGGCGCACAGCCCAGCGGGCAGGACCTCCGTGCCACGATGCAGAGGAAGGGTGAGCCCTGTGGGGGTTCAGTGACACCCCCAAAGCTCAGTCCCAGGTTCTTAGATGCACCTTTCTTGAGGAGCATGGCCCTCCTGTGTCTGTTCCGGCCCTCACAGGCCCTGGTGAGGGGGGCGCAATTGGACACCAATGAGAAACTTGGGTGTGGGGGCCCCTGATAAGGCCAAGTTAAGGAAAACAAATGTGAACTAGGGTGAGCAGCCAGTCCACAGCCAGTCCTCTCTCCCCACTTCCATCTCCTGTCCCCAGGGAGGCCCGGGTTTGGAGACAGGTTGCCCCTCTCTTTGGTTCCTTTGAAAAAGCTCCTTTTGCACAGTGTTTCCCCTACACCTGCTGAGTTCGGGGAGCAGAGCCAGATTGCCAAGTGGCAGGGTAAATCCTCCTGGGAAACCGGCCGCGCAGAGTTTCTCCTCCATGACCCTGGCTTAGGGTGTCCCTGGCACAGGGTGGTAGAAGCCTGGCAGTGCCACATGTTCCAGTAAGTCAGATCAGGGCCGGCTTCCTGGAGAAAGGGCCACTAAGGCAGTATGAGGCTGGGGACAGCATTCCAGGTGGGGAGAAATGCGTAGACAGAAGGCCACAGCCAGACTGGGAGGGGAGTCGGACATGAAGGTCCCCAGCACAGGGTCAGCTCCACTCAGGCCTCACTACCCAGGAGATGGACACTGTGACTAGGGGGTTGGGGGAATCTAGGGACTGAGCTGAAGCTGGGTGTGGGGAGGTGTCACACCCTAAGGACTGTGACCAGCCCCAGCTCATGCATGCACTTGAGAGAACGTGTCCTTGCGCGTGTGCGTGTACGTGTATATGCGCGTGCCTATGGCTGTATGTGTACGGGTGGCTCAGCGCTTCTGAAGACGTGTTTGTGCGGCGGTGCATACGTGACCACCCGGTCCTGCCTGCTCCCCTGCCTGGCCCAGGTGTCTCCAGCAGCATGAGCTTTGAAGAGGAAGAGGAGGATGAGGACGAGAATAGCTCCAGTTCTTCCCAGCTGAACAGCAACACCCGCCCCAGCTCGGCTACCAGCAGGAAGTCTGTCAGGGTGAGGCGCTCTCCTGCCCAGCAGGGGGGTGGACAGTAGTCTTCGGAGGACTGATCATCCGGGCTGGAGGGGGGATGGGTATGAAGAAATGATAGAGTTGGTCCACTGGGACGGGGCCTAGGTCCCCATCAGGAGCTTCTCTGGCCAGGGCTCTTCTGTCCTTCTATCCTGCCTTCCCTCCTCTTCAGCCAGGACAGGAGTGGGGAGCTTGAGTTGCACAGAATAGCCCTGAGAACTTGTCCACATCCTCCGTCTGCATCTCCAGGGACAGCTGAGGTGGGGGAAGGGCTGAGGCGCTAGCCGCTGGTCCCAGGACCAGCATGGCCAGGCCCACGTCCCAAGGACCTTGCCCCAGTTCCTACCAACACAGCAGAGGGCAGCTTTGGATCCCAGACTACCAATTGCAGCTGCTCTGGGTCTCTGGGGCTCAGGCTCTTACTCTCTCCCTGGTAGGAGGCAGCTTCGGCCCCCAGCCCAACAGCTCCAGAACCCTCGGCGGATGTTGAGGTCCAGGATCTCGAGGAGTTTGCACTGAGGCCGGCCCCCCAAGGTATCACCATCAAGTGCCGCATCACGCGGGACAAGAAGGGGATGGACCGGGGGATGTACCCCACCTACTTCCTGCACCTGGACCGCGAGGATGGGAAGAAGGTGAGGTTGGCCCGCACCTGCAGTTCCACCCGAGAAGGCCTGAGGTCCTGTGGGCTGGGATGTGACTGGAAGCCTCAGATCCAACACTGACCTTTCAGTTCCCCCAAAGGGGCAGAAGCCTCCGTGCCTGGTCAGTGCATACCTTTGTGTTTGCTGGTGCGTATGTGTGTGTGCGCGTACGTATGTTCAGGAGCTAAAGCAAGGGAGAGTCGTGTGTGTGCGTGGCACCCAGAATTGTGACCAGAAGTTGGGCCTGGAACATGACTTTGCTCCATTCCCCAAGGTGTTCCTCTTGGCGGGAAGGAAGAGAAAGAAGAGTAAAACTTCCAATTACCTCATCTCTGTGGACCCGACAGACTTGTCTCGAGGAGGGGACAGCTACATCGGGAAACTGCGGTAATAGCACTCCCCTAGGAAGCAGGCAGGGCCAAACCCTGGACAGGGCACGTCTTGTCCCTGAAGGAGATCTAGGTCAGGGTCAGATCCTCTCATGGAAGCCTGTCTGTCCCTCAGATCCAACCATAGGCCCAGGTCTGTGCCAGCCTAGAGCCAGACTTGGAGATGGACTTTAAACACCTTACCCTAAGGTGCTTCCAGGCAAGTGGGGTGCGGGCCCACCAAGAGTGGCGGATCACAACCTCAGGAGGGCATTGAAGATGGAGGCTACCGTGAAAGAGCTGCTCTGGCCCCATGGTCAGAGCTAGCCGGCAGGGCTGAGAGCGAGCCCTTGAGGGAAGAGAGTGCAACCCTGGGATTGGGGAAAGGCTTTGAGTTCGGTCTTGGGGAGTGCTAAGGAGTGCTGGATCGCGGAAAAAGAAGTCAAGCTGAGAGGTGAGGAGCTAATGCTGGAGATGGGGCTGGACAGGACAGGACTTCATCTATGGTATCCACTCTCTATGGGATGGTGAGCCCCCTGTATAGCCTTGCACAGGATGTTCCTTAAGAGAAACTTGCGGGTCCCAGATTTACCTCCCAGAATTTCTCTCACTGACCTAAGATGCCCATTGATTCTATTCAGAGCAATTTCAGGCCTTGGGCTTATGAAGCACTTTCAAACATGGGGATTCAGTGAGCATTGCCCCCACCCCCCAAGGTCTGTTCTGGCTCAACCCAGAATGCTCTACAGATTCCTCAGGACAGACTGAGCTTTTCCTTGCTATAGGGCAGAAGGTGCATGATCCTGTATTGATTGCCTGTCCTTCAGGTCTAACCTCATGGGCACTAAGTTCACCGTTTATGACAACGGAGTCAACCCTCAGAAGGCATCATCCTCTACTTTGGAAAGTGGAGCCCTGCGTCAGGAGTTGGCAGCCGTGTGCTATGTAAGTCCTGTGTCCCTGGGCCTCTGGTCTCCAAGTTAGATGTGACACTGAGGACTTGCCCGACCTGTGGGCATTTCCATCTCTTTGTGGGTAGACGAGACTGTACAGAGTCGGGCTGCCCCTTGTTAGAGTGGCCCCTGCCTCTGTTCAGAGCTTGGACCACAGCTGGCCATGTGGCTGGGGAGCTCTGGGAACCAGGTGACCTCTATATAGCCCAGCCCGGGAGCCTCCGGGAAAGGAGACAGGAGCCCTGGATGCATCCCTCCAGTCCTCCCTTAGGTACCTAGGCCCTGCATGGACTACAAAGCCCTTTGCAGAATTATCTCACTGAATGCACAACCTAAGAGCTCAGTCTTATTTCTTTTATTATATAGATGAGGAAACTGAAGCTCTGAGGATGGGGTCACTTGCCAATGTCCCATAGCTTCTAAATGACCAAACTAGAATATAAACACAGGGGAGTGGTCTCCATTTTAAAATGAGGGATTGGTACCCCCCCATTAACCTGGGCATGGGTACTTCTAGGAGGCCTGTAGGGGAGCTCGATAGATGTTTTGTTTGATCCTGTGCTGCCCCCTGCTGGTCATGTTTGGGGAGGCAGCCCAAATCTCTTCAGACGCTTACTGAGCCCCAGCAGTGTTGCAGGTACTTTTGAGGCACTGAAGTTACAGTAGTGAACAAGAGAGACGTACATTTTTACCCTCATGCGACTTAAAATCTTGGTGGGGGAGACCAGCATAAAACAGATATATAAGCAAAAAAAAAAAAAAAATGTTCCTGATAAATGTGAATTAGAAACAACAAAGCAGAGAAGAGGGATATGAAATGTTCAGGTGTGTGTAAGCTTTTAGAAAGGATGGGAGAGAGGGCCTCCCTGAGGTAATGCTTGGGTGAAGCCCAGAAGGAAGTTAGAGCCAACCAAGGAGGTGTAGAGGAGAACACAGCCAGTGCTAATGTCCTGGGTGGCTGGCATGTAGGGGGAACCACAAGGAAGGCCGAGTGAGTGCAGAAGAGAGTAAATGGTGGTGGTGGTGGTGGGGGGAGCAATGGGGCCTTGCAGTCAAGGTAAGACCTTCAGCTTTTAATCTGAATGAACAGGGGAGACAAAGGATGGGACTTAGCAGGACTGCTTGCTGCTATGTGAACAAATGGGCAGGGAAGGTTGGAAAGAAGGAATCCAAATAAAGGTTATTACTGTCATCTTGGTGAGAGATGGTGCTGGTAGAAAGTGGTTGAGTTCTGGATATAATTTGAAGGCAGAGTTGACAGCATTTGCTGATGGATTAGAAGTGGGTTGTGATTGAAAGACAGGAGTCAAGAATGAGCAAATGGAAGAATTAACTGAAGTGAGGGAGACTGTAGGAGTTGCTGGTTTGGGCAGAGTGGAGGGAGATTCAGGAGCTCGGTTCTGCACCTGTTAAGTGTAGTGATGCCTATTAGATATTCACGTGGAGATGCTGAAAACTAGTTCATCATCTTTATTCCCTCCCCCCAAGCCCCTGCCCTATCTCCCTGAAGTAAGTAGAGTCCTCACATGGCCAGTGTTGAGTTCTCGTTTTGTGTTTGTTTTGCAGGAGACAAACGTCTTAGGTTTCAAGGGGCCACGGAAGATGAGTGTGATCGTCCCAGGCATGAACATGGTTCACGAGAGAGTCTGCATCCGGCCCCGAAACGTGAGTCTCTACCTCATCCCAGCCTCTGCACGCACTTCTGGGGGCAGAACTGTAGCTGGTGGGTGTCTGTGGAGGAGACAGAGGGTGAGAAGCCCTGGAGGTCAAGGTGGAGGTCTAGGGAAATCTGAGGCCCCCTCCTCAGGGTGGTTGGGACGTGGCGGCAGGGGCGGGGCCTGGCTCAGGGGCGGCGGCCTTCCCAGGAGCACGAGACACTGCTAGCGCGCTGGCAGAATAAGAACACGGAGAGTATCATTGAGCTGCAAAACAAGACGCCTGTCTGGAATGACGACACGCAGTCCTATGTACTCAACTTCCACGGGCGCGTCACACAGGCCTCCGTGAAGAACTTCCAGATCATCCATGGCAATGACCGTGAGTGTATCTGCCCTTCCTCAATACCGTGCACATGACAGCCACGGCCCATAGCTCAGGGTTGTTACCCAGCCCGGCCTGTACAGGACAGAGCTTAAGGACATGGGTTCCATGGCTTAGCTGAGAGGTCAGGAGCTCTCTAACCATGATAACTGGGAGGTTCTGGGAAGGAGCTTTGGAGCCCTAACCCTAGTCAGCAGTCTCAGGTGTGGAAACACCCTCTGAATGGACTTTTTCTCCTCTTCTGTCCCCCGGTTTTTGTATCTCCTTTGTCATCTGCTCCCTTTCCAACCTCTTCTCCCAACTGGTCTGTGTTTTACCTCCTTTGGGATTTCCCTTGGCATCTCTGCTTCTCACTTCCTCTTTCTGCTTGGGGTTTGAATGGCCATCCTTTCTCATCTCCACCTCTGTTTCTCTCTGGGCACACTTGGGCCTGCCTCCAGCGGACTACATTGTGATGCAGTTTGGCCGTGTAGCAGAGGATGTGTTCACCATGGATTACAACTACCCACTGTGTGCGCTGCAGGCCTTCGCCATTGCCCTGTCCAGCTTCGACAGCAAGCTGGCCTGCGAGTAGAGGGCCTCCTTGGGCCCTTTGGGGTTGCCCAGCCTGGAGTGGAGCTGCCTGCCTGCGGAGACAGCCCTGCCTACCGTCTGTACATAGGCCTCCTGCCAGATGAACCTTCTGCTCTCGGTGGCTCCCTGGCCCGTCTGCCTCCACTGCTGAGACGGAGGACTAGATGGGGGAGGGGTGTGTGTGAAGGGACCAGAGTGAATTCTTCCTGGGCTATGAGGTCCACACACACCCCCCAACTCTTGGGTTAGCATCCTGCTGCAATCACATTTGTCAAGCTGGGTGGCCTCTTCAGCTGGGAAGGTAGGAAGACGTGTCGAGGGAGAGGAAGCAAAATGCAGGCCTGCTGGGGCCCACTCAGCCTAGGAGTCGGGACAATGGGTCCCTAATAGTGGAGGTGTATATTGGGTACATCAACTTTACACAGAAGGGCAAGTACTTGCTACCAAGTCCTGTGCTAACTATGGAAAGTCATCCGGCTTCAGAAGGCCTCTGCCAGGCCGGGAGGACTCGGGTTTGGGAAAGGTGAGGGGCAGGACCTTGTCAGGGCTGTAGGGGCCTGGCTGTGGGAATTGGTTGGGGACCTAGGGTTCTAGCTCGTTTGATTTCTCTAGGTTTTCTCTCTGTGCACAGAGGCAGGCAGCAGGAGGCTGGGCCTCTGGGCCAGATGTCTTAGAGGATGGGGCCTGCAGGACACAGGTCCACATGAAGGAGGTACACGGAACAGGCTCCCTGGACCAGGGCTATAGCTCGGGAGTCCTGTCAACTGCTGGAGGAGCTTTCTGCTGCGCGGCTCCTGCCCAGTCCCCAGTAAATGTGGACAGGGCCCTGGTCCTCAGCCTGAGTGCACAAAGGTAGGCCGGCCTGGGCCTCCAGTGGGCAGAAATTCTAGCTCCGTGCTCTTGCCTGTGCTTCAGTTCCTGCTGTGGTCAGTCTAGGCTGTGGCTGAAGACTTCTGTGTGTGGTTCTTCCTGGGTGGGAGTGGGGCAGGTAGAAGAAAGGGAGTATTTTAGAACCACAAGAGCTGAGGGATCACAGGTTAGATGAACTAGTCACTTTAGGTGAATCATAATAGCAAATGGGACTTGCACTAGGTCACCTGGCTGGTTAGTGGCAGAGTTCAGAACGTCTGCTCCCTTGATTGCTTTGTACCTACTATCCCCCAAGAAACTGCTGTCTCTGGTTCTCTGGCCTTCCTGGGACCCAGTCTGCATACCCTCACCCTTTTGGCTGATTACAGAGACTTAGAAATGTCAGAGTTGATTTGGGAAATGGAAGCCATTTCAGTGGGAAATGGAGCAGTTTCCTGCTGAAAGCTGGCTTTTTGGATATCTGGCTGTGTCTGGCTTTGGGGATGACGGGTGAGGCATGAGTGTTCCAGGGCTGGGCCTTCTCTCCCTTGAATCCTCCTCCAAATGGCACCATGCACCCTGAGCCTTGGGAACGCTGAGCCAAGCCCTTACCTGTTTTGTCATTTACCCCGGCAGAGGCTCCTTGCCCAGATGGAGGTCAGAAGTTAGTGGGAAGCAAGCAGGAGTAGCTCCTCCCTTCAGAGAAGATGTGCTTGGAAAGGCGGTATAGAAATTTTTTTTTTAATAAGTCCTAAACACTCTAATGAGGCTCTGCACTGAGGGGGAGTTGTTCTGACCCAGGCAGAAAGTAGTAAGTCTAAGGTTTTCTGTGTAGAGTGTCATAGCAAGGCACGCCTGTTCTAATGTGTCTCTGCAGGAGGCCCTTGCCCTGGTCTAGTTTCTGGACAACGCTTGCGGGCATCCTGAGGGCACTAGGTTTTTGTACACCAGGGCTGGTCCGCCTCCTGATGACATACTGTGGGGCTCTCTTCCTCTCCTCACTTGGAGAAGAGATCTGCTGACATTTGGGATGATGGAAAGTAGATCACCGAAGGCGGTGGGTCTGTGATTTTTGATCCTAGGGAGAGGTGGGAAGCTGGGTGGCGGTGTGGAAAAGGTAGAAGCCCAGTGGCAAACTCTCACGGCCTGCTTTCTTGTCAGATACTCCAGAGAGCAGAGTAGTTGGATAGTCTGGTAGGGTCAGGAACGTGGGTTGCGCTACCAGCCTGGCCCATGGGAAGGCAGCTCAGGAGCAAAGTGCTGTTGAGCACTTAAGAGCAGCTGAGTCAACTGCTTGAGCCCCAGCCTCACAAGGTCTGTTCCTAAGGCCCCATGCCTGGTAATGCTGGTTTTCCTGGTCTACTGGCCGAGCCCTGGACCCAAAGACTCAAACAGCTGCCAGGGCCCCTGGAGCCCACCTGGGCTCAGCCTCTCCCACGGTAAGAGCTCTTGCCCTTCATACCCTCTACTGACTTGGTCCTTGATAGGCAGGGGCCTGGCTAAGCCCTGAGAGTGGTGGGCAGCTGGGACCTTTGGCAGCTCCTCTGTAACTGCTCCTGGGGCCACCCCCCCAAACTCTACTCCTCCTTTCCCCAAACAGCTCTTCTATAGAGCAGTGATGTTCACTTCCCCACTCTTCTCCGACTCTAGCTTTTCTTTCCTTCTGGCTCCAAGGTGCTCTGTGTCTGTCCATATGTCTGTGTCTCTGTGTGTAACTGGGGAAAAGGGCAATCTGCAAATCACCAACTGAGGTTTCTTCCTACGATCATATTCTAAGGAGGAGTAGGAAAGGAATAAGGATATTATGATCACCTGTGCAGTTTGTTTGTTCATTTCATGCCCTTTGATCGGAAAGTAGACCCGGGAAAGTACCAGCTTTCTCCCAAGGGTTCAAGAAATTTGTCTTTCAGTTCCATTTCACATTACCTGAAGAAACTGGCATGTTACATGCATGCTTTTGGATGAATTTGAACATACTCTAGTGAATGTGCCTTAAAAATCACGACACTAGTTTAGGGGGAGCAGGTAAGGTCCAGACTCGTGTTGAGGACAGGCGCTGGAGGCCAGCAAGGGTGATCATGACTAGCTAGAAGAGAACCTTGGGAGCCTGCATCCTTCAGTGACAAAAAGGGCAACAAAATTACAGAAGGCTGTCTTTGGTCTGGAAATATGTAGAGGTAAATGCTCTGCCAGTTTACATTTAGAGGCAGTTCTAAATTTAATAAGCAGGGCCGAGGACTTCAAACTAGTAAGGACATGCTTTCCTCACAGTGGGGTCTGCAGTGAGCCATGTCCATGGCTCTGTTATGCAAGCACAAATTATACTTCCTCTCTGGAGTCCCTGTGTTTCCCTTAGTGTAACACTGGCCTTCCCTTTCTAGAATTCTTTGCTAAGCTATACCTGTGACCTCTGGATACCAGGTGGCCCTCAGAGCACACTTTTCCAGATATGGTAAGGAGTCTGCGATCTTGTGCCCAGCACTGAACTATAGCAGCCCCCAGGAACAGGCCAAGGTATGGGCTCTTGTTTTGAGTTTCCTGTCCATCTGTACCTCCAGTGCAATTCTGTCATCTCATGATATGGGGAGGGAGAGGCATAGCAGAAGTATTGGGATAGGTTTAATTTTCCCACCAAGTTGAGAGGCAAGATGTCTTATAGAGAGCACTACTGCACTTAGTAGCTAGGTGATTCTGAGCAAACCACATTTTTCCAGATTGTTTTCTCATCCACAGCTTGAGGGGGTTGGACTGATCAGTAAGATTCGGGGTGAATTAAAGTTGATCCCTACTTTCATCACTACCTTTTCAGGCTCATCACTGTGCCTTTTTTCTTTCCTAACAACCATGTCACACTCCTTTCCTCTCCCTTCCCCCACCAAGGTCCAGGCAGCACTATAGATTAGGCCAAGATCCAGAGTTTCCTAGAGAGTAATTCTGAGTGGCTTAGAAAGGAGGCCTGAGTTACAAAGGGGACTCGGTCAGGATGGGTGGTACTTCTCTTGCTGGAAACATACATTTAGCCAGTTTTCATAATGCCTAGAACATGTATGTCTATTTGCACAAGATTGTCTTTTCCTATTCTGGAGTGGTCAGACATTTTATTTTTGTTCAAAATTATCTGGAGTTTTAGACAAACTTGCAAAACTGTGCTTTTATTAAGTGACTTTTTGAATAAACTCTTTGGTATTCTTGAGCAGATGTATTTATTTACTGGTATGTGCAATGACAAAGTTGGTATTTTCCCATGTTAACATTATATATGTTGTAGAACTTAAGTGTTTGTCTAAGTACAGACCATATATCAACAAATTAAACTTGAACTGTTTCAAATATGGCAATGCATTTTTTTCTTCCTAGAAAAGGAGAAAAAAAACCCTTTCTTACCTAAAAGTTCCTCCTACACCATTCTTTCCTTCTGTCTTAAGAGCCTCAGGGGTGGGTGAGAAGGCATCATGTCTTGGTTGGAAACACTACCATAAGGGTTGAGGCTGTCCTGTCTCTGGCTGTGCTCTTCAAATTTAAGGATGGTCAGAACCACACCCCCCCAGGCAAGGAAGGGCTGGAAGAACAGGTTAGTGCAGTCCTCTCTCTGCAAGAAGGGGATGTTTTAGCTCCTGAGTGACCCCCTGGGGGCCCGGCCCTTAGGAACAAAAATAGGGTTGGTTTATTTTTTACCCTAGATTTGCAGTTTTTATGTGGCCAAGATAATTTCCTGCCACAACCATGGCCTATATCTCCTTGGCTCTGCCTCTGTGGGAAACAGCAATACTGGTTCTTACTAAAAAAGAGGTTTTTGTTGTTTAGTGGTTAGGTTAAAAACAAAGCTTTTAAATAGGTTCAGGATAGTCCTGGCTTATACCTATTGTTCTGGCATAATTATAATTAAAGTTCCCTTTCCCTGAAGTGTCTTAGTTTGTAACATGAGGTGTAGAGAGTGGTTCTCCTAGGCCATCTCTTCTAAAGGTCAAATATACCTCCAATCTTCAAAATACCTTCGTTCCTGGGCCTAGTTTCTGGATCGTGTACACTGCCAATCATAGAGCTCCCAAGGTGGTGCTTTCTCTGTGCTCCTGTTATGACAGGAAAGAGGATCTCCCGCCCAGATCACCCACCTGATTTAACCACGCATGGTCCCAGGTCATGCAGTGGCTTCCTAGGCCACCCATCTGTCCTCCATGCTCTGCCACAGTGCTCAAAAGTCACTGAAGACCTAGCACCTGGGGGCTGATCCAAGTTCACAGCCCAGACCAGTTCTGAAAAATGAAGACCATGATGAGAGCGATAAGCATGACAACAAAAACCAGCCCTAGGATTTTGGTCATTCCAGGTTGTATATACACATAATTGTCATCCCTGAAGGATAAAATAATTCTGGGAAATCCAAAAAGGACCAAATGACTGATGAATAATCACCATTTCTAAAAATATAAATAGGTTAATATTTATTGCTGTTTAAGCCAACCAAGAGACAGGGCAGCAAGAACCATGAGCTCTTAGTATTTCTGGTAGGAACTATTTTCCTAAGCCAATTTCCCCCAAAGATTAACATTCGAAATTAAAGAGTGGTTATACGACACCTTACATACCATCCTCATAAAAATACCTGAACATCCATACACTTTCCCACTAGTTTTGTCTAACACTGCTCTCTCTGCCAGGAATGTTCTCTTGCTTGGCCACCTGAAGGTCTTAGCATGCCTCAAGATCCAACTTGTCTGTAAAGTTTTTTGGAAGTACTTTGGCAAAAATGATATTTGTGTTTCCATAGATTTGGGTCCATGTCTCCATTATAGCATAAAAGGCTTGTACAATAAACGTAAATTATCTACTACTTGAGTGGTTATCCTATATGAGCTAGGAGGACCAGTGCTGTTTCATATATGCTGATGAGCTCACATTTAATCCTTCTAACCACCCTGGGCTTGTACTCCCCTGCACTAGACAGGAGAAAACCAAGACTCAGTAGGGTTAAGGAGCCAACAAGACTCTACAGATAGAATAGGCAGGGATGGAATCATGAGCAACATTTCTCTGCCTGCAGAATTCACAATCCTGAGCCCTTTTATATAGTTTGTTAAAAAAAAAAAAAAAAAAAATTGGACAAGTCTCCCAACCAAACTTTGTTTCTTAAAGTTAGGAACTGAGCCTTTGCTCCCACCGCCTACCTCTGGGCAGTGTCTGCTAAATGAACACATGAATGAATAAACTAGAAACACTTCTTAATAAGGGAGCTATATATACTAAGGCAAAAAAGAAATTGGCACCCAGGACTCCTCATAAATCAACCCCTCACAGTGAATGAAAGGAAATAATGGAAAACAATTTATCAAAACAGTGAAGAGCACCTACATTATATTCTACCTTGAGCATTACATCTAGATTATTTCCAGTACATTTTAAACTACATTCTCTAAAGTAAATCAAATGTTCTACACAGAGACAGATGCAATATACTTCCTAGAGACTCAGTCTTCAATGACTTCTCTCTGTAACAAAAAAAATGTTAATTTCATTGGCAAGAAATGCCTAATGGTAGCTGATGTATTATGTTAATATGATCCCATACCTTCTGACAGTCTGTAGGCTAGGCTTAGATGTGTGATTTTGACTATTTTCCTTAGTTAAAATCTTAGTCAACAGGAACAATGGAACTCCAAAAGCCCGATCTACCCTTAAAAGATTTCTTAATTTTCACATCTTCCACATTTTATGATTGGGAATGTTCTTGGGAATGTGTCCTCTTTAAACTCAGGTCTTACATGGAAACTGAATTCACTCATCTTTACTAGCCAGGATACCTGGGTGCCATTTTATCTCCAGAAGACACATAGCAGATGGCACCTTAGAGATGAGGCCTGCAGTTTGGTCCAAATCCTTCCAGCCATAACCTACCTCCTACTTTTCCCACCCTTCTCAAAAGAGCCAGGTATCTGAATATAAAACAAATAGTCTCTTCCCCTGGGCTACATAGCTATGAGGGCTATATTCCCCTGCTATACTGGTTCTCTGCAAAAGACACGCACTGCAACTTCCCTTTGGGGCTGGCACTTTGTCTAATAAGCTCAGTCCTCCTCATTTCTCTTTCAATTCATGTGATTGCAGAGGGCACAATATTTAGAAATAGCTTCTAGGCAAGGACTGCCACTAAGTACACGGATTCTTTCCCTATCCCTGCCTCTCTGGCCGCCTGAGCATGTTATGGAGGACCAGCACCGTCACACAGGCTTTCTCGTAGCCTTAACAGCCTCAGACCTTGGCTCTGTAGGGCAAGGCCTAAAAAGTCTCTAAACCTTCTGGCCACTGAGGGCCAGAGGTATAAAGGTGCTTCCAGGTTGGCAGTTCTGTGAAACAGAGCAGGGATAAAGGAAGCTAGAGATCCAGGCAATACTGAAGCAAAACAGTCCCCCAACAGGTCTCCGGGCTCATTCACAAATCACTGGGGCCTTCAACTCTGAAGAAAAGCGGGTATCTGAGGCAGCAACAATGCTCCTAAGAAGGCCCTTGCTGTGATAAATGGGCTTCAGCTCACCCAGCAGAGTCTTACCCTGCTCTGGCCCCATCATACCCACAAAAAATGTTCTCTTCTTGAATTCATGGGACCACTAACCTGCTCAAGACCCACAGAGTAAGACATCTTGGACTCTGAAATCTTCACTTTTGCAACCGTAAATTCTCATCACGTTAAAATTGATATTCATTCACAGGTAAACTGTCTGCTACTCCTAGCACGAAGAGTCAGACCTCTGTCCCTGAGTGTACAATAGATCAAACATAATTACTCAGCGATCAACTCTCTGGTGGAAGACAGGCATGAAGAGAAAGAGTGAAGCTGTATTATGTTCATACTAATTGCTATCGTGTTTTACAAGGTGACAGGTGTGTGAGCACCAGAAAGGATACATGATATCCATGGTAGTGGCCTGATTAGCTAGGATATTTAAACACAGAATGCAGTATAGGGCACAGGGCCAAGGATGAAATCTGAGAAAGGAGAGAAAGGTCACCCTGGGATTAGAGTAGTGGATACTTCCCCAAACCAGCTGTTTTCAACTCCAAACTCTGGGGGTTCCGCTTCCTCAATGTGCCATCTGTATACATTTTATCAGTGCTGATGCCCAACCCTGACTCCCTGAAGTCTTGGGGCCATACTTCTCTGGTTTCCTCTCTCTCAGTGTAACTGTCTACACTGAATCCAGCATTCTCTGCCAAGACCGCGGGATCCTCCTCTTCATGAAAGCAGCAGGAACAGGTTTCTGGCTTTGGGTCACATGAGGTAACAGAATTATCTTCCCGGGCTCTGGGGTTAGTGGGCACTTCCCAGCCCAAATGGTCTGATTCTTCACCTTCTAGCAATTCCATTCTTTCAGCTATTTCTTCAGCAGAGGGTTCCTTGGAGTCAGGGTAATCCACTAGGATGGTTTCTTGCCTATGCTTGATGCAATCTGAAAGGTCATAAATCGGGTAAGTCTCTTCAGGATAACCTAGAGGAAAAAAGCAGCAAAAAGTCTTACTTTGTGTTGAAGAGAAATTCATTGCATCAGGCTCCAAGAGGCTCCTTAGGCAGCAGCTATCCTGTCCCAACAAATCAAGTCAAAAAAAATTCTCTAAGAGGACTAACAGTTCTAAAGTTTCACTTGAGTACATTCCTGGCAATCTGGCAGACTACCCCCGTGTTCTTTGAAATACAAACCAGTTCACAAGAAAATCTCGTAAGCACAGGGTGCTTAGGGCAGAGTGGAAGTCTCACACCTCAGGCTTCAGCAGTAGTGATGAAGACTCCAAAAACATGAGCCATCGGGTAGAAAAAAGTACCAAACACCAGAGAGCATTGCTCAAGGCTAACGTTTATAATTTCTATTTGGGACCATTTCCAAATCTCCCTGGGTGGGGAGATGAGAAGAAAAGGAACACTAAAGCTCTTTGAAAAAAATCTGCCATGAAGGCTTCTACTAATCAAAAGAATTGAAACAGCCTGCAAGTGTTGGAGAGACAGCACACTGCAGCAAGGCATGCCCCAGACCCCGAAGGACAGGCACTGCATTTTCACAAGACACAATTCCCGTTGTTGGTTTCTTCATCTTCACAAAATGGAACAAAAGAAGACAACAAACCAGTAAACAAAATAAGGAGTACTGGTACTGAATTCCAGCCACCATAATGAGAAAAGACAAAATGTTGCCAAGTTAAAGAATGAAATGGAATAAATCTGTGTCAGCCAGGCTGCACCCGAGCCGCAGATGGGCCTGGCTGGAGCTCATATGCCAGCGCTGGCAACTGCAGCCATGCAGGCTACACAATGTGAAGAGCTGGAGAATTCAAAATCCGTTTGCACATTATGATAATTGGCAAATTCAACCCTAATATAAGCCACTTTTTGCCTGCAAATTTTGAAAAGCAAGGGTCTTTTTTGATGCAGTGTAGAGCACGGAGAGACATATTTTAACAACATGTTCCGTTATTTTTTTGCTGATTATAAATCATACAGACTTACTGTAAAAAATTTGAAAAAAACAGACAAGATTTAAAAGAAAACCCACGTCACCTAGAATCCCACCACTGATGATAATTTGTTGTGTTGCTTCTGGCCTTTTTATCATATATAAACATGCTGTTTGTAAAAGGTTACACTCGTTTTTTTTTCATTCAATATTAGATCATGAGTACTTCTCCATGCCATTAGGCATTTTAAAGTTGGCTGCAAAATATCCCATCATACAGCTACGTAACTGACCTGACTTACCATGCCTCTTATGTAAAACCTGTGGATTCTTTCCAATGCCCCCCCTTATTATAAGTAACATAGCAGTTAATATCTCTGAATATAAATCTATGTCCATTTCCCTATTTCTTTAAGACACACTTTTACAGGGCATGTGGGTGGCTCAGTCAGTTAAGCATCCGACTCTTGATTTTGGCTCAGGTCACGATCTCACAGCTCGTGAGATCAAGCCCTGAGTCAGGCTCTGTTTGGGATTCTCTCTCCTTCTCTTCTCTCTCCCTCTCTGCCCCTCATCTACATGTGTGTGCGCTCTCTCTCAAAAACAAACTTCTAGAAATATGAGAACTAAAGTTTAGGATTAGACATTTTAAAATCCCTTATTTACACTCTAAAAATAACTTTCCAGAAGAATGTATACACTTTTTTTTCACCAGTGATGTAAATTAAAAAAAAAAAAGAAGGAAAAACTGTTCATCTTATATCCTCATCATCATGGATAGCAGTATGTTAAGAATCTTGCCAATGCAATGTTAGTTCTCAAGCTTAACTTACTGTGGATGGAATGCTAGGTAAAACAGTTTGATACCCAAGACCCTCACTGCCTCCTTGGTCAAGGGCAGGGGCTTCTGGGGAAGCTTACTTGCTAGTTAGCTCTCAGCCACAAATGCTTAAGATAAGTCCATTTTCTGGCATGTTCCCGCCTTCTCCCCACACCAAGAACAAAGCTTACCTTTGGAGTTAATGGCTATCAGCTTTGGTATAAGAGGAAGAGGCCTGCTGAGGAAAAGCAAATAAGGCTCACAAATGGGCTTCTAAGGTAGCCTGTTATTTGCCAACATTAAGGGTTATTTAACAACTTCACTAAAAATACAAGCAAAACTCACTGACCCTAAGAGGAAGTGAGCAGGGGAGTCAAATTAAGCAAAACTATGTAAACAGCCCTAAAAGAACAAAAGCAAAAACAAAACAGTCAATGTAGGAAATAGGAGTTAATATCAATCAACTTATAACTGATGTTCCCAGTAATATTCAAAATAATACTGCATTGATAAAAACCAACCAGGCTTCAATATAAAAAGGTGAGCAAACAGGCAATAAGAACTATTAGAAAATATTTAAACTAAAGGGAGAAAATAGCAGATTGAAATGGACACCATATGGGAGATCAAGCCCTACATGGGGCTCTGCATGGACAGCATGGAGCCTGCTTGGGAGTCTCTCTCTCCTTCTCTTTCTGACCCTCCCCTGCTTGCTCTCAGTCTCAAAATAAAACAAAGAAACAAACAAACAAAATGGAAATGGCTAAAATCCAGATTAGTATGTTAGAAGTCCAAATATAGAAATTCTTCTAAGACAGAGTAAAAATGACAAAGAAATAGAAACTATGAGAAGAAATACAGACTGCATTGGAAACTGATCTAATACACCCAATCTCTAAATTACTGGTATTCCAGAATGAGGGCAGAGTAGGTTGAATGGAAGCAATAGCCAATAAAAAATTACAAAAGAAAAGGTCATTTAGCTGAAGATAGACTCCAGTCTTCAGATGGAACAGACTCACTAAATGCTAGGCAGAAATACTATGAAAAATCCACATACTCATATGCACTCAGATATATGCTAACGAACCTGCCCAAATTCAAATGTTTAAATGTTAAAAGACTAAAATTTCCATACAGAAAATAAACTAGCTAACTAAAAACAGGTTCCCTATAGAGAAAAGAATCAGACTGTGATAAGATTTCTCATTTTCCACATCAAAGGAAAATAAAGCAACTTTATTTGCAAGTCTTATTGAAGCAAATCATCTCCAGACTTGCAAGGAAAAATGGCATGATAAAATAATTATCTGTATAAAAGTGAAAAATGGTATATATAGATAGCCAAGTACTCATAAAGTACACTACTCTATAAGGGGGTGACAGGGTAGGGGGTGGAGAAACTTATGAATTTTAATATGAAAAAATGAAAAAAATTTTTGAAAAATTTGAGAAAGAACATACTGCATATGAGAAAGTAGTGAACCATGAATCAGTATGAATTATCAATGTAAAATAATTATTGATAATGTGCTTAGAGATTTAATGCCATTGTTCAGAAATACTTAAAACAGGCTACTATATTTAAACGTTAACATCACTTGGACCTAAATTCTATATAATTTCCATAACACTTAAGAAGTAGACAGAAAATGAATGTGATATTAGGACAAGGTTATACAAAGAGATTTGCAATTCAAAGGAAAAAACGAATTCCAATTTTCATTTCCTTGATTACTAGTGAGACTGAAATACTTTTAAATGTTTTGTAGAAAGGTACATTTTTTTCTTTTGTGTATTGCTCATGTAGGAGGATTTCAGTGTCTTATAAATTATAGAATTCTTTATATACTAAAAGGTATCAACTTCTTTTCAGTCACAGTTGTCACAAATATATTTCCAGTTTAGTGTTGGCTTTAAGTTTTGTGGTATTCTCTAATCTACAGAAAGTAAAAGTTCTATGTATTCAAACTACACTATCCTTTCCCTTAATTTTTTTTTCATTGCTTTTAAAAAATTTAATTGTAGATTCACATATAGTTATAAGAAATACAGAAACGCCATGTACCCTTTACCCAGTTTCTCCCAATGGTAATATTTTGCAAAACTATACAATATCACAACCAGTACATTAATATTGATGAAGCTAATACACGGAGCATTTCTATCACAAGGATTCCTTATATTGTCCTCTTAATGCCACACCTACTCCCTCCTGCCCGAATTTCCTCAGCCTCTGGCAACTACCACTAATCTGTTCTCCATTTCTATAATTTTGCCATTTCAAGAGTGTTCTATAATTATACAGTATGGAACCTTTTGGAATTAGCCTTTTTCACTCAGTATAATCATCTGGAAATTCATCCAGGTTGTTGCATTTATCAGTAATTTATTTTTAATGCTGAGTAGTATACCAAAGTACCAATGTACCATAATTTGTAACCATTCACCTGCTGAAGGATGTCTGGCTTGTTTGCAGTTTGGGGCTACTACAGATAAAGCTGCAATACATATTTGTGTACAAGTTTATGTGAACCTAAGTCCTCACTTTTGAGGTAAATGCCCAGGAGTGCAACTTCCGGGTTGCACAGTGGATCTAGTTTGTCCACGTCCTTGTCAGCAATTGATATTGTTATTGGTTTTTTTTTTTCTTTCTTTTAGTCATTCTGCTAGATGTGTAGTGGTATTTACTGTGATTTTAATTTGTCTTTCCCTAATGGCTAATGATGTTTAACATCTTTTCATGTGCTTATCTATCATCTGTATATCCTCTCTGGTGAAAGTCTGTTCATATCTTTTGCCCATTTCCTAACTGGACTATTTATTTTTCACTGTTGAGTTTTGAGAATTCTTTATATACTCTAGATAGAAGTCCTTTGCTGGACATGTGATCTGTACATATTTTCTCTCACTGTGTAGCTTGTCTTTTCATCATCTTAACAGGGTCTTTTGCATAGTAAAAGTTTTGGATTTTGAGGAGATCCATTTATTAATTTTTCCTTTTACGAATTGTGTTTATGATGTCAAGTCTAAGAACTCTTTGCCTAATCCTAAATCCCAAAGATTTTCTGTATTTTTTCAAAAAAGGTTTATAGTTTACAATTTACATTTATGTTGATGACCTATTTTTAATTAATTTTTGTGTAACACGTAGAACTTCGTTTGATGATTATTTTCTGCTATGGATATCCAGTTGCTAGAGCACCATTTGTTAAAAAGCCTA